TAGAAATATTAAGCTCATTTTCAGGTTCATATCAGTATTTAGTGTCTCTATGACCAGAGGGCAAAAGTACACGCATCCTTTACTCAAGTAGAAGTACAGATTCTCGTGTTTTAAAATACTCTGGTGAAAGTAGAAGTACTGACTAAACTTCTTTACTCAAGTCAAAGTAAAGAGGGCTTTGAAATGTACTTCAGTAAAAAGTACCCATAACTAGCAGCTGTTTTAAAGAGTACGTGACCTCCCTTTATATTAATAGAACAATAATGTCATTGTTAGCTAATGAATGTTTCCATGCTGAACAACGGCAACATGACAACGTTTTCATTGGTCCCTCTTCTTTAGAGAAGACCAGGAAATGATGGATACACGGATCGTGTTCAAATCAATAGGCACGCAATGACTCTAAATAATAATGATCACGCCACCAAACACACATTCAAACTAAAGGAACCAGCCTGTTTGGGAAATGTAAGAAGTAGAGAGTACAGGTATTTGTGTTCAACATGTAAGAAGTAGAAAGTACAGGTATTTGTGTTCAACATGTAAGAAGTAGAAAGTACAGGTATTTGTGTTAAACATGTAAGAAGTAGAAAGTACAGGTATTTGTGTTCAACATGTAAGAAGTAGAAAGTACAGGTATTTGAGTTCCAAATGTGAGAAGTAGAAAGTACAGGTATTTGTGTTCAACATGTAAGAAGTCAAAGTCAAAAGTCGTCAGAAAAATAAGTAGTGGAGTAAAGTACTGATACCAGAAACATGTACTTAAGTACAGTAACAAAGTATTTGTACTCCATTACTTCCCACCTCTACTGGGACATGTCTCCATGCTTTAATGTTCAAAAAGCTCTTTATTTGTCTCATACTGCCTGTGCTGCAGCACCTCTTTTCACCCTCTGTCTGAAACCAGAGCCCAGTCTGCTCTGATTGGTCAGCTGGCCGGCTCTGTTGTGATTGGTCAACCGCTTAGAGATGTCCCGCCCCTTAGCCTATCACGTATAATGTGTTAGTGCGCTAGCCAATAGAAACGTGAGTGTTACATAGTGATGTCATTATGTTCAGGAAGTAAACAAATGAGTCCAACGGAGAGAAACTCATGGATTTTAGTCTTTGCAGACCATTTACAAAAAGCGATATAACACACTACAGGAGAGGGAAAACCCCAAAAAGCAATTGAAATGTCATCTGTTACCTAATGACTCCTAATAACACACCATGCAGTACCACACCTGACAAGTAGGACATGTAGCTTTTTATGAAAAATTATTGATTTCTCTCATCTCATATGACTCCAAGTCAAAGCAGCACTTTGTGTAGTGTAGTATTATATATAGTCACATGTCATGGAAGCCATTGAAATAAAACTGAAATGATCTCATACTAAAATACTTTAACCCTTAGATGCATACGTGGGTCTTTTTGGACCCGGTGAGGTGGTTTTCTTGAAGTATCTTTGTAATTACATTTTTTTATCATTTCATATTCCAGCTATTCCTCAAAAAACATGTTTTGGATATCATGCCATTCTAATTTTAAATTTACATTTTATACATTTTAAGAAATTGTAGTTTTTGTATTACTACCCCAAGCTTCCATAAGTGGGTCTTTTTGGACCCGGTGAGGTGGTTTTCTTGAAGTATCTTTGTAATTAAAAAATGTATAATTTCATATTCCAGCTATTCCTCAAAAAACATGTTTTGGATTTCATGCCATTCAAATTTTTAATTTACATTTTAAGAAATTGTAGTTTTTGTATTAGTACCCCAAGCTTCCATAAGTGGGTCAAAAATGACCCGCATGCATTTTATATGGAGTCCTATGGGAAAACGTTTTTTTTTCAAAATGTAAAAGAAATTTCTAAAATTATAAATAGTGAAAAATTAAATATAAAATATTTCTAGTGTAAACCAAAATATAATACTAAATATTATACAAGAGATTTTTCTTAACCAAAAATGACAAAAATGGCATAAAAACACATATTATTCTAATACGGGTCCTTTTAGACCCACTTATGGAAGAGTGTAGGGTCCAGTCACTCGTGCATCTAAGGGTTAAAATGATTTAACAAAGAGTCAGTAATCCAGAAAAAGTGTGCTGTTGACATTGCAGTGTTGTATAAACACGTAGTTAAAAATGCTCTTTCCAATCAGCTAATGGAATACTTTGCACAGATGAAATCTTGCCTTAAATGTACTTCCAGTGGTGCTGATTCAAGCTGAAGGTGTTCAGGTTGTTAAACAGTGAAACTCTCCTGCTCTTACATCAGTTTTCCTCCCGAAGCTGTTATCTCTGCTGCCGGCTGCTCTCCCACCTCTCCATCTCATCACCAATCTTTCCCGTAATTATACATAATTGGTTTTGTGTAACAGAAATCATTCATGCCGATAATCTCTCACTTGTCTCCGTGAGAAAAATGAATGTTAGATTACACAGATTCACGCTTTACTGGAGCTTGTCACACTCTACACGTGGCTGATCTGCAAAGTGTCTGACTGTAAGTGAATCAGAGTTTAAAAACGTCTCCAATTCATCGCAATTTGAAGCAACTAGAGTCTGGTGTCAAGTGATAACAGAATATTTGAATTCATTAATGTGAAATTCACGCATTGATTGGTAATACAATGTCTAAAAACGAATCTTTTAAAAGCCCTAAAAATGCTCAATTATGATATCCAGGGTTTTATGAATCGTTGTGACTTTCTGTGGTGTGAAATCTGAAAAAGATTGGTTACATCTATTTACTCAAATGTACTTGTCATACCATTTAATAATAATAATAATAGCTTGGATTTATATAGCGCCTTTCAAGGGACCCAAGGTTTACTACCATTTGTCCCAGTCTGTTCAGTTTCCACTAACAAGTCCTGAAACACTACTCTACTTTTTCTCTTCTTTTTGGGTGCCTTTATTCCAGAGAGGGTGTTACATTGAGAGATAGAGGGGAAGACATTGCCTGAAAACTTCGGCGGGCTCGGGTTTCGAACCCACCTACTAGCTACTGTAGTGACAACTTATTGCATCTCTGCGTGAATGATTAGATAATTTCACCTAAATTAAATCAAATGGAATGATGTTGATGGTTACATTAGCTTCACATGTAGGCCTACTGAGTTCTGAGCCATTTAGATCTATAAAGGCCTTGAGGCTATGTTGTTTGATTTAATTAAACACAATATATGCACTCCACTATGCTGTTGTAGTATTTACTGTATCTGAAGCTCTTAATATGATTGATCATATTTCAAGCCATCTTTTTCCCAGCCCCTTGCTTTGGATCATTTTCATCAACCGGCCCCATTCCAAACTAATTGAATAGCCCTGCTCTAGATGATAGGAAAGGAGGTTTGAAACTTTCTTTATAACCTCCTTTAGCTTAGGAAACACTGGATCTTCCTTTACGAAAGGAGAGGGCTGCAGTCGAATAGTCCAAAAATCAGCTCCTATCGTCTATCCCTATCCCTATCGTCTATCCCTATCGTCTAACCCTATCGTCTATCCCTATCGTCTATCCCTATCGTCTAACCCTATCGTCTATCCCTATCGTCTAACCCTATCGTCTATCCCTATTGTCTAACCCTATCGTCTATCCCTATCGTCTAACCCTATCGTCTATCCCTATCGTCTAACCCTATCGTCTATCCCTATCGTCTAACCCTATCGTCTATCCCTATCGTCTAACCCTATCGTCTATCCCTATCGTCTAACCCTATCGTCTATCCCTATCGTCTAACCCTATCGTCTATCCCTATCGTCTAACCCTATCGTCTATCCCTATTGTCTAACCCTATCGTCTATCCCTATCGTCTAACCCTATCGTCTATCCCTATTGTCTAACCCTATCGTCTATCCCTATCGTCTAACCCTATCGTCTATCCCTATCGTCTATCCCTATTGTCTAACCCTATCGTCTATCCCTATCGTCTATCCCTATTGTCTAACCCTATCGTCTATCCCTATCGTCTAACCCTATCGTCTATCCCTATCGTCTAACCCTATCGTCTATCCCTATCGTCTAACCCTATCGTCTATCCCTATCGTCTAACCCTATTGTCTAACCCTATCGTCTATCCCTATCGTCTAACCCTATCGTCTAACCCTATCGTCTATCCCTATCGTCTAACCCCATCGTCTAACCCTATCGTCTATCCCTATCGTCTAACCCTATCGTCTATCCCTATCGTCTAACCCTATCGTCTATCCCTATCGTCTAACCCCATCGTCTATCCCTATCCCTATCGTCTATCCCTATCGTCTAACCCTATCGTCTAACCCTATCGTCTAACCCTATCGTCTATCCCTATCGTCTAACCCTATCGTCTATCCCTATCGTCTAACCCTATCGTCTATCCCTATCGTCTATCCCTATCGTCTAACCCCATCGTCTATCCCTATCCCTATCGTCTAACCCTATCGTCTAACCCTATCGTCTATCCCTATCCCTATCGTCTAACCCTATCGTCTATCCCTATCCCTATCGTCTATCCCTATCGTCTATCCCTATCGTCTAACCCTATCGTCTATCCCTATCGTCTATCCCTATCGTCTAACCCTATCGTCTAACCCTATCGTCTATCCCTATCGTCTATCCCTTGACCTCTGTGTGAAACGTCACGGGGTTAAGGGATAGTGGATAGGAGAATTCAAAAGGACTTAGGAGAAGAGACTGCGGTGCTTTAGAGAATCCGACTGCACTTTCTCTATCCGACGTGTTTATGATGCGCCAGCGGACGTCATAAATGTGCGTCTGCTGCTGTGGGGAAACTAGTTTTCTATACAGCGGACGACAACATGGATGTATAATAAGAACCTGTCTGTCTTCTTCTGTTCATTTATCTGACCTCCAGCGCTCCGCCTTTTAACCTCTTTAACAACGGTCATTATAGTGCTTAACAGTGGTCTGTACTGTCATATTGCCCCTGAAATGTCCAAATTGACCAATCAGAATCGAGTATTCAACTAAGCCATGTAAGTAATAGATAGAAAAAAACACAACTACAAAATGAAAGCTGTTACAGAGTTTTATTTTGTCTCACACACATGTTGGTCCTCAATAACAGCACATACAAATAAAAGTAATGACAAAATTCCTGCCTAGCAACCACATTTCATCAGATGCATAGATAATAGTTCATGGGAATAAGAAACGTGTAAACAAAACCCAACATTTCACAGCTTCATGAAAGAAAACTAAAAAACAAATCCTACGTAACATGAGTTTCTATTCTAAAACAATACTGAGTAACAACTTTTTTTTTTTTTACCTCAAAGCTCAAAAAACATAGAAAAAAGTTCATCGTTGACACCATTAAGAACTATTCTAAAAACGTGACATATTGAAATGTTTTATTCACATTTTTACCAACACTGTATGAGCAGTACAAAGCTCATCCGTGACCAACAGAGTGTGGATGATGTTGTGGGAAAACAGGACATCACAAACTGTAATATAACATTAATTATATCACAAACAGGTCCACTTCATGTTGTCAATTATCACTTTGGATAACTCAAACAACGAATCAATCGAATGATGAGTAATCCTTTAATTAAAGCAAGTGCTACTCCAAACATTTGCTGTTGTTTTTCAGTTCATTACTGATAATATTTGGGTTCTGATGGATTGTAATTGGGTTATTAAAGGTTTGATTTGAAGCCTTTTATCATCCTAATTTGCCCTTTGATTTAAGTACAACATTCAAAGTAAAGTTTGGCGTCTGTTGTAGAAAGAAAGGAAAGAAATACTTTGGGTACATTTTGGACAATTACAAGTCCAAGAAATATTTAATGAGTTATACTAAACTTTAAATTTGACACAGCTTTCATTAAAAAAGTAAATCAGAAAGCTGTTTAAGAGTTTAAAATACAATTGGCCATTATATTGTCATAAAAAAAAAAGTTTAAATCCCCCCCCCAAAACCCCATCAATGGTAAATAAATTCAGTACGAATCACCTTGTCCCCTTCCTGTCTTTGAAAATAAAACTGCACGTTCATGTGAAACCTATTGTTTTCACAGTATTTTAAGAGCAGTTAGACATTGAAACACTCTCAGAAACACATTCATCTCAGACAGAACAATCAGGAGTAAAAGGCACAAGCGTTGTTCAGATTGTCCGGTTGGTTTTATTGGCTCATAGTCCAGGAAAGAAATGGCGTCCGCTGGCGTCTGAAAAACAGATGAAAAAAAATCCTCGTTAGTCATCACTAAAGGAAAATCAATCATAACGCCCAAATTGCATTTTTTTTACCTCCGAGTCTACAAGAAGTCCTAGTGTAGTATGTCGAAAAATATTCACAAAAATACATCTGATACGGTTCTTGTTTGTGGGCGTGGCTTAATGACTTGGTACCGCCCCCACGCGTTCCACCTTTATGTATAAAATTGGTATTTATATGTACTATGTGGACATTTACAAAAAAAAAGTCTCTTTAAAAAGGTTAGAAAAATACTCAACAGGAATTCAGAAATGTTGAATATTAGGCTGTTTTTTCCATTTTAAAAAAGGCGCTGTACTTTTTTACTTGTTTTACAAATGTACCCCGATCAACTCTAAGTTAAGTCGGCTCGATCTTAAGACCTTAACAAGGTGAGTTTTCATAATAGACTGAATGGTTTTAATGAAACAAACGTGCGATTTTGTGGTAACTTTTTACAAGTGTACATGCACATTGTCCAAGCAGACCAAAATATGACATGCTATTGCAGCTCTAATATCTAATGTTAGGGTCATAGTATACTCTGTCCAAGTATTTGAAAATAATTCATAATATATTCATTTATGATGAACTTGAAGGTCTCCATTTAGACCAAGGTTTTTAATTACAAGACGATCCACAATGAGCATCCTTCAACATTAGGGACAAACTTTACGCAGCTCATTTTGAAACCTAAGATATATAATACCACAAAACCCTTTAAGAAACAAGTGATACAACTCGTAAACGTCAAACTTACCCAGATTTATTTAGAGGATATCTTCTTCTTGGGGGATTTCTTTTTCTGGAAATGTAAGAAAGAAGGTTTTATAAATTCATGTAGAAATGCTGAATTATTGTGGGACAAAGCTGGTGCAGGTTTTTTTACACTTAAAAGAAGACTTTTGTGCCCAAATGTTATCTTTCTTTGCAGTCAAACATGGACATTAGATTATTAGATATGACAGTGTTGTTATAGAAAGTGAGACGTTTGGGTTTCTTACCGTAGAAGAAGCCTGAGGAGTTTGTTGCTCTGCAGCCGGCTCTGCCTTTAGTCTGTTCTTCTCTGCGGACAAAACGTGAATATTAGTACATCATGAAGTTATTATGTGTCCTCTAAAAAGACATGCCTTTTTAAAAATCTATATACAATCTGAATCATTCATATGTTAAGCTCTGTAAAGTGCCCCGATACACATTCCTGTTTGTCACTTTGCAATATACTCATTTGTATAAATAGTTATCACCGCATTAAACACGTATTTCATTTACATTATTTAATTTCATATTCTGTTCTTGTACATATCATATTCTAATGACATGTATACAGACTTTTTGCAATACTTTTTATATTATATTTTATTATATATGTTGCATTGTTGGAGGAGCTCAGGTCAGAAGACTTTCACTACCATGTCTACACTGTAGCTCATGTGCATATGCCAATAACACCTTTGAATTGCATTGAATGTATAAGGGGTAATGCTCCAGCTCAGAGTGGTACTCGTGTCATTTTAAATATGTCTTTATAGCGACTAAGTTACATTTGAACACAATAGTGCAAAGATACAGCTCCAAACACCTTAAATATTAAGAACTATATACATGACTGTCACTCAAAATAACTTCTCAACACAGAAACAATTTAGTGCGCTTCAGAACTGATTTTAGACTTGTCTCGTTTGTGTATAAAGACCTCCTAAGCCCCTAAACTGCTTTAAATCCAGGCTACACACACACACACACACACACACACACACACACACACACACACACACACACACACACACACACACACACACACACACACACACACACACACACACACACACACACACACACACACACACACACACACACACACACACACACACACACACACACACACACACACACACACACACACACACACACACACACACACACACACACACACACACACACACACACACACACACACACTTGTATTCCCTAGCATCTGACTCCCTATCCGGCTGAAAGTGCTTATGGCTATGTATTTGTTTATTTGAGCTGTGTGTATTATTGTTTACGTCGGTGTTTATTTTATGAAAGGTTGTGTTGGCTACCTGCTCTGTTCTGTACAGCACTTCGGTCAACGTGGGTTGTTCTTAAAATGTGCTTTTAAATAAATGTGATTGATTGAGATTACAATTATTATTATTTAAATGATTTGTTAATCCTTAAAAACTAAAATCTCAAATGTGAAGGATGAGTTTTGATCGGGGGAAACTTCCTCCATTATCTAACGTAATAATGACTCGATGAACATCATAGTACGCCTCAGCCCTATGGAAAATAGAATAAATATGAAAATGACAATCAGAAAGTCTCTTACTCTTCTTTGCAGAAACGTCGGGGCTCACAGTGTCGGGGGTCTCTGCAGTCTCCTCCTCTTCCTCACTCTTCATCATCTTCTTCTTCTTCTTCTTTGAGAGTGGAGTGGAGTCGACTTCAGGAAGCTCAGCGCTCACCGCCTCGCTCTCATCCTCCGTCACCGATCCCTTCTTCTTCTTCTTCTTTGGTGTTTCTTTTGGTTCCTCCTCTGTCTGAACCTGCTTTTGTCTGGGGGGGGGGGGGGGATGGTAAATGTTATATAAATGCCATATTATTCTTGTTATACGTTGCCTAAAGACATTTAAGCATCTATTTTTTCCCTTTTTATTGAAAATATAATCATTTTTTAATCTTCTTTTATACGGATAACCAAAAAAGAGACACTGCATTTTAGTTTGAAGCGTCCTTAAAGGGGAGCTATCATCAAAATGCACTTTTGTGTCCCCGGTGTGTCAGGGAACTCACGCAGCGTCAGAAAATAAAACCCTCTCTCTTTTCCTCCGTACCCAAATCTCTAAAAACGGGGGAACAACGGAGCTGATCCAGATTTGCGTCCGATATGACGTAATATCAGAATTGTGGATCCACGGCCCTATTAGAAACGTTGCTATCAGAAACAATGCGCGACTGTTTTGGACGTAATATGGTCGGTGTTTACATTAGCATCGCTAACACTCAGAGCTAACCTGTACTGGAGAGCATGTGTGTGAAGAAGCAGGAAATAAAAAGGAACTCACCTTGTGGTATAACCGGCAAGAGAGAAAGCCTTTGAGCTCCATACTGTTTCAGAAAGAATCCTTGATAATCCATGATATGGCGTTTCATCACCGCAGCATTTAGTTTAGACAGTAGCTGCCGGGTCCCGCATGAGCTCAGCCCCCACCTTTTTATTTTTTATCAATTTCTTATTTTTTTTTAAAGCTTTATACCCAAAATCAGCACTTTTGAAACAGGAAGTGAAATAGAGGTATATGAGGCATGGCTACAATGGGTGATCTGTTTGGTCTTTGAGCAAAACACTTCATAGACATGTTTTTTATATATTTTTATATATCTGAGACCTATGCTATTGCCTAAAAATAGCATGATAGGTGACCTTTAATACTGTTAAGTTATATTATGGATATCAAATATATATATTTTTTTATATTCTATGAATAAAGAACAGGCTTTTGGGCATTACTATAGTAAAGGTATTTATTTTTCCTAGTTTTTCTGCAATTTTGTTGGAAATGTTTGACTTTTCCAATGCTTTGCTTTTTTGTGTGTGACATAAAAATGTAAAAGAAAACAACATTTAAATGTGTTGACATGTTTTAAATGAATCTCAAACTTAACTACATGCACTTTAAAAATAATAAAGGTTTAAGGGCTGTTCTGAGTGTCCTTTAAAGCCTCTATCGATGGCTTCAGAGGAAGCTTCAAATGTCTAATCGTCATATGTCATTTTGTGATGAATAAAAGCAGAAGATATTGAACTTACTTCTTCTCCTCTTTCTTCTGGATCCTCTGTCTCTTCTTCAGACTCAGTTTCTTCCTGAGACGCTTCTTCTTTTTGCCCGACGAGAGCAGAGAGGCGTCTGCGTCTGAAAACAGTTAGGAAAAGAGAACGTGATTAGTATTCAGATCATTTACTTTAGGTTGAATTAGGCCGCAGAATTGCCCCAGTTATTGTAAAACTACCGTATCATATATTATAATTAGGGTCAACGAAGACCCTATAGAAACTGTTGTGTATATAATGAACTTCATGCAAATAAATCACATTTCTGAGAGGTTTTACATGCTCCGGATAAGCTGCAAACATCGCAACATATACATCTGATGTGGGTATGGGCGCGTTTTCACTATATGTATAACAGTTTGTAGTATTATGAACAAAAAAAGTCTCTATCAGGTTAGACATGTTGAATATTAGGCCGTCTTTTCCATTTAAAAAGGTGCTGTACTTTTAAACTTATTTTACAAATGAACCCCCGATGAACTTAAAGTTAAGTAGGCACGATCTTAAGACCTTAACAATGTGAGTTTTCATAATAGACTGCATGGTTTTTATTAAACAAACGTGCGATTTTGTGGCAACTTTTTCACGCAATTTGCAAGAAACAGGATCATCATCCAAGAAGCCCAACATCTGACCTGCAGCTTTAATATCTCATTTTAATTACGATAACAACACTGTTAATGTTGCAGCCGCTCAAGGTGGAGATCATTTTAACTACCATACTCTTTATACATTACTATCTTGGCTTTTTGGTGTAAATCTTTAATCTGAAAAGAAACTAAAAACACTTCCAGATAAATGTAATAACATTTATTTCATGATATAGACGTATAAAGTAGCCGGAAATGAAAATACTCACGTCAAAAACTTCAAAATTGAACTGAAGTTTAGTACTTCAATCAACGTCTATTGATCATTAAAAGGGTAAGAAAGCCTTGAGATATTGAGTATTGCTGTATCACATGTCTAATATATATTACATTACATTTAGCTGACGCTTTTATCCAAAGCGACTTACAATAAGTGCATTCGACCAGGAAGATACAAACTAGAAGAAAACAGAATCGTATAAGTACATCAGGTTTCATAGAGCCGAAACATTTCAAGTGCTACTCAACTGGCTTTAGATAAGTATATATTAGATATTAGTATATAAGTGCTTTGTTAGAAATTCTATCGCTCGAAGTGGAGTCGAAAGAGATGAGTTTTTAGTCTGCGCCGGAAGATGTGTAAGCTTATATATAATGTAATGTATACTGTATATGCTTTGAGCTCTTGGAAAAGCTCTAAAATAAATGCTATGGATTATTATTATTATCTATTGAAGTTAAATATATATTTTAGCATATTTTCTGACTACCTGTTGTCTCCGGCTCCTTTTCCGTCTCTGCATCGCCCCCTGCTGGTTGGTCCTCAGACTGCACCACCTTCTTCCCCTTCTTCTTCTTCTTCTTCTCCTCTGTGGTTTCAGCTGGACTCACGAGACCCTCCTCCTCCTCCTCCACAGCAACCTCGCTCTCCTCCACCACAACATCTTTTGTTTGATTCTTTTTCTTTTTAATTTGATTTGCTGAACGAGTGACGGGAGTTGCCTCTTCCACTGCATCCGGCTCCATTTTCCTTTTCTTACCCTTCTTCTTCGATGGAGTGGCCTGAGGCATTTCCTCCTCTTGTTTCTCCTCCTCCTCCTCCTTCTCCTCCTCCTTCTCCTCCTTCTCCTCCTCCTTCTCCTCCTCCTCCTTCTCCTCCTTCTCCTCCTTCTCCTCCTCCTTCTCCTCCTCCTCGGCCTCCTCCTCAGGTATCTTCTTGGTTCTCCTTCTCTTCTTGCCGCTCACAGAGCTGGCTGTATCTGGTGTGGACGCGTCTGGGCTCGGTGTTTCCTCCGTCGGCGTGTCTGCATCGGTTTTGCTCTTCCTTTTCCTCTTCTTCTTCGGAGTAACAGCCTCGTCTTCCTCAGAGATGTTGAGGATGATGGAGGCTTCTGGCTCTACTTGCTCCGCCATAGCTGCTTTTTCTGAAGAACAAAAATAACAATTCAAGATCTTCTTCTCTGTTTCTGCAGCACACATGAACACAAAGGAAGCAGTCACAACATTACAAACATGTCCATCAACGCAGAAACAGGAAGCTAAAAATGTTAAAACAAAATGACACAATGTGTGTTTTCGTAAATTAAGAAAACACACACACAGGCAGGTGCCAATATAACCTCTCCGTCAGTACACCGTGCTTTAATCACCAAATGCTTTCGGTTTCTTGACTTGAAAACAATAGAAAATAGTATATTAACTCCTAGTGGATACAGACATTAAGGAGATAAATAGAAATGACCATAAGTCAAGAAATCTGCAAGTTATTCATTAAGTAAAAGAGAGAATAGGCTACTGTGTGTTTAGGTTGACAGAGTACTTTGCCATTTGTCATTTGAAAAAACCTTTCAACCGTTATTTACCCGTTAAAAGTTTAAGATTCAAACGTTTGCTTTGGTTGAAATAAATCTCTTTCAAAAGTTGGTTTCCCATTTTGGATACGATAAAGCATCCTGTACTCGACGTGTTACCGGCTTCAGTGTCGGGATCCTCGGGGGACTTGGTCCGGTCTTCAGCTGCCAGCGGGGATGCAAGGTCACCGTCCTGAAGAAACACAGACAGGAGATTTAACACACTGAGCTGTGTGTGTGTGTGTGTGTGTGTGTGTGTGTGTGTGTGTGTGTGTGTGTGTGTGTGTGTGTGTGTGTGTGTGTGTGTGTGTGTGTGTGTGTGTGTGTGTGTGTGTGTGTGTGTCTGATTGCCTCCCTCAGCTGCTCCAAATCACTCATCAGCACCTGCACAAAGGCTGAGGAGCTGCAGCTGTCTCTCTCAATCAAAGCCAAACTATCAAAGTGAGAGGGGAAACCTATTTCATCTGGATCCCTGCACACATTGGGCTGGAGGGAAATGAACTGGCAGATACATGTGCAAAGTTGGCAACAAGGAGAAGACAAGATAGTATGAATGTGAAATATACGTAAAAAGAAATGGCAGGACGAATGGAACAGAGGAGATAAGGGCAGACATCTTCATAGTATTCAAAAGAAATGAGGACATCATTTCAAGAATGAGATTTGGTGACACGGGGCGAAATAACCCATTATTCATTATGAAAAAATATGCAAATGTGAATATTGTGGTCATTCTGAAACAGTGGAGCACATTTCTTTGCTGTGTCCCAAATACCATCAAGAACGTATACTACCAAGGAAGCACTGAACAGAAATCAAACGGGATTAAATATAGTAGAGATTTTGAGAAGGAGTTCAGGGGATGTAGCATTCAGGGCAGGATTTAGGTTTTTAAAAAAAATATATTAAGAGTTTAGATTAGCTGATCCACACTCCATTCCAGAAGGTGGCGGGAAAAGCACCTAAAAGTTGTTTGCCGACCGCCATAAAATAATAGCATCTATATTCAATACAAAACAAGGTTGGGGTTTTATGAGATAAGGGGGAAAGGTCAAGTGGTGATGAGCAGGTTAAGAACTGGACACGGCAATCTTAATAGTACACTTTTCAAAAAAGGAAAACATCCGACAGGGTTGTGTGATAAATGCAATGAGAATGAAACAGGCGAACACGTCTTTTTGTCATGCAGGAAACAAACCCAGCGACGACAGGACAGAGTGGAGGACAAACTTGGAAATGTATTTGAATGTGGAGAAAGAACTCAGGGGAGGGAAATGATATTTAGTTTTTTAAGAAAGTCTGATCAGATGGAAAGACTTTAAAAAGTGTGAGGAACCGTAAAGAAAATCCCAAACACTAGGGATGCACCTGCCGTGAAACACCAAAGAAGAAGAAGAAGTCTCTGGCCCAATTCCAAACCTCCCCCTACACCAGCTGTGTCCAAACTTATTTCACTGAGGGGCCACATACAGAAAAATATAAGAAGGGCTGCTCGGCACTCACTAGAGGTCAGGTTTATTGCCTCATAAGTTGAGTTATAAGTCAGCGAAATCAATCAAATGTAGGCAAATTATTCTTGATACTTTCAAATGCTTTAAGACAAAAAAACAGCCTAAATCCCAGCTCTCCAGAGGGTTTCATTTATCTTGTTAGCAGCACATTCCTTAAAACAGAAGCCTCAGATTGCTGATAAGAGGAAATATGAAGCGTCTATTTGAAGCTTGTTATGGAAATAAGTCATTGGGATTTTTTCTTATCAACTTAGATTTGTTAGAACATGTTTTCAACTTTAAATGACTGAATTTATTTGAAAATTGGGCCTATTAACTACTGTGTCATATATTTGAACATATATATTAAGAAGTACAATATAAGACAAGCAGAAGTTTATTATACTTAAGTCATTATACTTTTTGAATTAGCTGAGGGCCGATTCAAAATGGTCCCCGGGCCGTAGTTTGGACACCCCTGCCCTACATCCTACCCCTACATTTGGGCATCCAATCCAACAAGTGTGTAGGGGAGTGTGTTATCAAACCCTCCAACAGGAAGTCTGCATCTCACCTGGGTTCACCTGAGCGACCCAGGTTATCATACATGTTGTTACTCAACCTTTACCCCTAGATCAGTAGGGAACGTAACACACATTTACACAAACTAGTATTACTTTAATTATCAAAATGTCCTAGCAAGACTATCCTTTGTTAATATAATAAATACAAGCCCTGAAACTAGCGTACCTTAGATGTCTCCTCCTCTACCTCTTCTTGTGGGTTCTCAGAAACAGGGTCTGAAAAAGATGAAAACACTATTATTCAATCATAAAGTTTATCTAAAGTATTTCTGTCTGAATTAACTTTGATAACGAGCTTTTTTCACGGCAGAGATGTCGACTTACCATGCCCACATTAGGACAGGTGGAGCCAATAAATGGTGTCTATGTTCCAGAAATGATTGCAATTCAATTTAGCAACTAGCAAATGTTGAGTCAGTCAGAAACATATTGACATATAAGTCGAGATCTCTGCTGAGAAAAAGTCTCTATTCATATTGCCTTGTAAACATGCTGCTGTTAAAAAACTATTGCCCAGTTTAGGATCATTAAAGGTCCCCTATCATACTGTTTTTCATCAATATATCACAGGTCTCAGATATATACAGAACATGTCTCTGAAGTGTTTGGCTCCAAACACCAAACAGATCATTGCTGCATTACCCATAATCCCCTCTGTTTCAGCCCTGTTTCAAAAGTGCTGAGAGATATTTGGTTAAAAAGAACACAATGGTGCTCTAGGAGGAGATTCAGGTGATAAGGTGGGGGGTTACCTTGGTTGGTGATTGGCTAATGGTTACACAAGCCAACACATCGTGATGACATCATAAAGTGGCCAAAACCTGATCAGCTCATTTTCAGACAGGTTTTTATAGTCTCTTTACACAGAGGGGACACATGTTGATGTATACAAGACATGAACAAGTGGATTTTGCATGATAGGTGACCTTTAAAGTAGATGCAATCTTATCCAATCTGCAGTTGAATGAATTAAAATATGAGTTGTTAGCTTCAGATCTTTAGTCAAAGTCAAAGTCAGCTTTATTGTCAAAAATTCTACATGTGTTATACATCCAGAAATCTATTAACACCTGTCTCTATACTTCCTGTTTAGATCTGTTAAAATGCTCTCTAAGGTGAGCAGCTCTGAGGCGTTTCCTCTCAACAGCTTGTGATTCCTGAGAAAGAGATTCCATACATAACATGTTAAGAGCTACATCTGACATCTGATTGGCCGTTCATACCTGCAGGGGGCGGGGCTTCAGCCTCCTCCTGCTGCTCATTGGTCTCCTGAGCCTCTGTAGTGTCGGGTTCGGTCGGCTGCGAGAGGAATCAACAGGTCAACAACGTCTGCAGAACGCTTCATTTCTCCCTTTTTAACTGGTACGTGAACTCTTTAAAATCTGAATGTATTGGCACTGTAATGATGATGATTCAATTCTATATGATTTGCTATAGGCCCCAAAATGGATTAAAAAATAAAAGTTCTGTTGCCAATATATTAAGAAATATATAAATGTCAAAGGGGCTGTACCAAATAGTTTGATAACGTTGACACTTGAATTCCAAATCAAGATTTAAATGTCTATTCATTGCGTTTATTATGAACAAACTATGTGTAGAAATTGATTCCAGAGCTGGCTGCCTTTCAGACTTTTTCAATAACTACTGGAAAGTTCAAATATATATTAAAAAAAATAAGTATAATTTCCTAAATCCATATTATGTTTAAATCTCATGATATATATTTTGTACTGTTTATCCTTAATAATAATAATAATAATAATAATGCATCACATTTTTTATTAGAGCGCTTTTGCAGGTGCTCAAAGCGCTTTACAATTACACATATTAGACATGTCATTACTGTGGACATTACCCACAGGAGCAAATTAGGGAGAAGTGTCTTGCCCAAGGACACAACGGCCTGACGCAGTGGCGGCCGCGGCGGGTTTCGAACTGAAGTTCACCAACGCCCCTTGATCTGATGATCAACGCTCTAACCCACTGCGCCAAAACCACCCTTATCCTTGTGACTGTATCAACGGGGCCTTCCAGCAGCAATCTAACAACATATTGGGAATAAAGCCGGGTGACTAAATGTATTTATGTTAACCAAACTGACAAGTAACATTAACTAAATAAACAGCAACTAATACAATCTGTTGAATCGCTGCGTTCAAATCGAGGATTTCGTTTGAGGCCATTTTTGGGGGTATAATAGATATTCAAAACTTCATTCGAAAAACCTCAACATAAACTTAAAATGTAAAGAAATAAAATACTATTTGGTAAACCCTGAAGGCAAGATGGCTGCCGTGTCTCTAGCTCCTGCATTTCTTTCGTTTTTGCATCTTTGGAATTGATTAAATGTATTATCATAATAGTTAATTGTATTTCACTGTCCAATACATTCAGTTTCTTCCACCTGCACTATTTGTATTCAAATGTGTCGTACTCTGTTTCATTTCCAATAGTTTTATTTTTGTATTATTATTGTTATTTAGTTGTCTTGTGTCCTTTTATATAATGTGTTGCATTGTTGGAGGAGCTCGGGACCTAAGATGTTCATTGCCATAACCACACTGTAGCTACTGTACACCTTGAACCTTGAAATATCAACCAGTGCTTTACCTCCGCAGCGCTGACCTCCCCTTCTTCTGAGGCTTCAGTTTGATTGACAGCTGTCTGCTCCAATGCAGAGGCTTCATCTGTGGCTGCTTCTGACTCCTGAGAGGAAATCAGAGAGAAGACAAGATGACACATAAAACAAAACAAGTTTAAAAGCAGAGAATAAAGCATAGATTTTAGTTTAGATTAGAGCGTGGTTATTCCATAGCTTTACTCTTTAGTTGTGTTGGTTGTGATAACGCTTTAGTTATCAAAGTCTGGAAACACAGACATTGAGAAGTCAGGCTGCAGTTTAGAAAACATTATCCACAGAAATTACACATAAAACCGAATATAAGAACAACTAAGACGTAGGTAATTAAAAGGCCTTTGCACAAGTACATTGTCGAGAGCCATGTATGGAAGTTCAACGATATACCAGACAGTAGTTCAATTGATATATTTGTTTAATGAAATGTTGCTGCTTTTCCAATTAACATGGTGTGCACACTGTTTTTAGCACAGAAGAATGGGCAAGAAAATAAGGCCTGCAATGAAATACACCATGAATTATTCTATGATAAACGCATGGAAAGCGTTAAAAAGTAATGTTTTGACACTTCAAAATGGCACCAACAATCAGAGATATTGTGTTAACAAGGTAAATGTGCGGGGGTTTGGATAAAGTGGACATTTTATGGTGATATTTCAAACTGTTTTTTTTAACCCTTTTTTTAAATATATTTTATTGAGCATTAAAAGTACAAAATATACAATTACAGAATAAGAAAGGGACAGAAACATAATGCCCACTTTCAGTTTTCTATTTTAACATCCCTCCCCCCATCCCCACCCCGCCTCGACCTCAGGTCAGAAACACAATGATTCAAACTGTTTTTACAGAAAGTCACCCAGATCACTCGTATTTAAAACACTTTCAGGGATTGACCATCTTGTAAAAGACAAACGGGTCATATTTATTTAGAGCAATGACAGCTATGGTTCTCCGAGAAAAGCTTCCCACAAGCCAGAATATTCTTATAAAACTAGATGACTCAGCAAATCAGACGGCGTGTCTTCACTGTTTCTTACTGGGAGCTAAAAGCTCAAACAATGCAGCGACTCGCAGTCCAATCTGTGATCAGTTCCAGATGTGCAGAGGGGAGCCGAGGCTCTGCCAGGAAACAACAAATACTGACGTTTTTATGAGTCGTGAATAAAACTGATTAACATTTCTGCTTCTTTCTGAACCGTCGGAGCCGTTTGGTTTGAAGAAGGTTGATATTCAACAGAGCTGCTTGGTGTCTCAAATGGAGGACGATTTAACATCTTGGACACCAGTTACTCAGGAAGGTTGAAAATCATAATTAAAAAAAGGATAGATAGAAATTCTCTCCTTGGTTTCATTCATACTAACACTGTTTATATTGTAATATACACAGTGTATATTTTAGTACCATGTGCACAGTTTTACCATAACTTGTATTTTATTAATAGTATTTTTGTCTTAGTATTACACATTCCTACTTTACTTTATTCTAAAAATAAGAAACCAAACCAAAATGAATAAAATAAAATAAATAGAAGCAATTTAATAAAGTTTTCTGATATTGATTTTACTTTAACTTGTTATGTTCATATAAATATTTTCATTTCGTTTATCTTTTATTCACGTCATTCTAAAAACCAGCAACAAAACATATTAAAAAATAATAATTTAGTAAATCAATAAAGGTTTCTGATTCTGATTTCTGTACGAGGGAAATTAAATAAATGTGTGTGAAAGAAATCCGTTTGAAAGCTTCATTAACTTTTAAAAATAAATAAACTGATCAGAACATCTTAGCAGCACTTTTCGGTAAAACACTTGAAATATTAAGTAATACGTGTTTGTTGGAGTAAGAGTCTTACACGATCACACACCTGTGACTGATCCCAGGCAGAGGTGGGAAGTAGTGGAGTACAAATACTTAAGTACATGTTTCTTTGACTTTTGACCTTTGACTTCTTACATTTTGAACTCAAATACCTGTACTTTCTACTTCTTACATTTTGAACCCAAATACCTGTACTTTCTACTTCTTCCATTTTGAACACAAATACCTGTACTTTCTACTTCTTACATGTTGAACCCAAATACCTGTACTTTCTACTTCTTACATTGTGAACACAAATACCTGTACTTTCTACTTCTCACATTTTGAACCCAAATACCTGTACTTTCTACTTCTTACATGTTGAACACAAATACCTGTACTTTCTACTTCTTACATTTTGAACACAAATACCTGTACTTTCTACTTCTTACATTGTGAACACAAATACCTGTACTTTCTACTTCTTACATTTTGAACACAAATACCTGTACTTTCTACTTCTTACATTGTGAACACAAATATCTGTACTTTCTACTTCTTACATGTTGAACACAAATACCTGTACTTTCTACTTCTTCCATTTTGAACACAAATACCTGTACTTTCTACTTCTTACATTGTGAACACAAATACCTGTACTTTCTACTTCTTACATGTTGAACACAAATACCTGTACTTTCTACTTCTTACATTTCCCAAACAGGCTGGTTCCTTTAGTTTGAATGTGTGTTTGGTGGCGTGATCATTATTATTTAGAGTCATTGCGTGCCTATTGATTTGAACACGATCCGTGTATCCATCATTTCCTGGTCTTCTCTAAAGAAGAGGGACCAATGAAAACGTTGTCATGTTGCCGTTGTTCAGCATGGAAACATTCATTAGCTAACAATGACATTATTGTTCTATTAATATAAAGGGAGGTCAGGTACTCTTTAAAACAGCTGCTACTTATGGGTACTTTTTACTGAAGTACATTTTAAAGCCTCTTTACTTTTACTTGAGTAAAGAAGTTTAGTCAGTACTTCTACTTTTACCAGAGTATTTTAAAACACGAGTATCTGTACTTCTACTTGAGTAAAGGATGTGTGCACTTTTGCCCTCTCTGATCCCGGGTCACTAACCTGCGTCTCCCTCTGCTCCTCTCCGGGGGTCAGGGCTGCTCTGGGCTCGACCTCTTCCCCTGCCGCTTCAGATGCCTCTTCTACTGGAGCTGACTGCAAACATGAACAGGTAGGTGTTTAAAAAAAACTAGGTTTAAAGAAAAAAATACACATTTGAAAGCTGCTTTTTAAAGAGTCCTCTCCTGCTGATGTTCAGGTGTATATCAGAATGTAGTGTCTCTACTTTAAAGAGTCCTCTCCTGCTGATGTTCAGGTGTATATCAGTATGTAGTGTCTCTACTTTAAAGAGTCCTCTCCTGCTGATGTTCAGGTGTATATCAGTATGTAGTGTCTCTACTTTAAAGAGTCCTCTCCTGCTGATGTTCAGGTGTATATCAGTATGTCGTGTATCTACTTTAAAGAGTCCTCTCCTGCTGATGTTCAGGTGTATATCAGTATGTAGTGTCTCTACTTTAAAGAGTCCTCTCCTGCTGATGTTCAGGTGTATATCAGTATGTAGTGTCTCTACTTTAAAGAGTCCTCTCCTGCTGATGTTCAGGTGTATATCAGTATGTAGTGTCTCTACTTTAAAGAGTCCTCTCCTGCTGATGTTCAGGTGTATATCAGTATGTAGTGTCTCTACTTTAAAGAGTCCTCTCCTGCTGATGTTCAGGTGTATATCAGTATGTAGTGTATCTACTTTAAAGAGTCCTCTCCTGCTGATGTTCAGGTGTATATCAGTATGTAGTGTCTCTACTTTAAAAGAGTCCTCTCCTGCTGATGTTCAGGTGTATATCAGTATGTAGTGTCTCTACTTTAAAGAGTCCTCTCCTGCTGATGTTCAGGTGTATATCAGTATGTAGTGTCTCTACTTTAAAGAGTCCTCTCCTCAATCTCAATCTCAATCTTTATTTATTTATATAGCACATTTAAAACAACCTTCAGTTGACCAAAGTGCTGTACAGGCAATAAATATTAAATAACACAATGGGAGTACAATAATAAAACAATAATTAAAAACATGATAAAAAGCACAATAACTAGAAAAATATTTTAAAAAACACATACAAATGTAAAAATGTAATGTTCAACTAGTATTAAAAGCCAGTGCAAAGAGGTGAGTTTTTAGCTGAGATTTAAAAAGTTCAATAGACTCAGCAGTCCGGATATGTACTGGGAGGCTGTTCCACAGTCTGGGAGCTGCAACACTGAAAGCCCTGTCACCTCGGGTCTTTTTCCTGCACCGAGGAACCACCAACATATTTTGCTGAGCTGATTGCAGTGCTCTAGCTGGAGCATGGCGGTGCAACAACTCAGACAGGTAATGTGGTGCCAGTCCATGCAATGATTTAAAAACAACAAGTAAGTACTTGAACTGGATCCTGTAACTGACAGGAAGCCAATGAAGGTCTGCCAAAACGGGTGTGATGTGGTCATAACGTCTCTTCCCAGTAAGAAGGCGTGCAGCCGCATTTTGGACCAGCTGCAGGCGACGGGTCAAACACTTATCAACACCAATATACAGGGAGTTACAATAGTCTAAGCGAGACGTTATAAATAGGTGGATTAGCTGTTCAAATTCCTTACTGGGAAGATAGGCCTTTACCTTCCCCAGAAGCCGCAGCTGGAAGAAGCTTGTCTTGACAACTGAGCTTATTTGTTTGTCGAATTTAAAACAGTTGTCAAAGATTACTCCAAGATTTAGGAGGCTAAGGGGCCGAGTACACTATTAAAGCCATCCAGGAGTTCAGACTGTCCAAATATTATAATCTCTGTCTTGTTTTCGTTGAGAGTCAAGAAGTTGATTTCCATCCATAATTTTATGTCTTTCAGACAGCTAAGCAAGGCAATCCTAGATTCCTTATTTGCTTTTATAGGCAGGTATACCTGCAGATCATCTGCAAAGCAATGGTAAGATATGTTATGCTTTTTAAAAATGTCTGATATGCAGTTTAAAACAAGGTGCGACTGCAGTTGCGCTAACACCACTTTCTCTAGGACTTTAGACAGGAAGGGCAGCTTAGAAATAGGTCTAAAGTTGGAGAGAACAGAATGATCAAGGTTCTGTTTTTTGATAAGAGGCTGCACTACAGCGTGTTTAAAAAAGGTTGGAACGCAGCCTGAGGTGAGAGAGATATTCTCTCCTGATGATGTTCAGGTGTATATCAGTATGTAGTGTCTCTACTTTAAAGAGTCCTCTCCTGCTGATGTTCAGGTGTATATCAGTATGTAGTGTCTCTACTTTAAAGAGTCCTCTCCTGCTGATGTTCAGGTGTATATCAGTATGTAGTGTCTCTACTTTAAAGAGTCCTCTCCTGCTGATGTTCAGGTGTATATCAGTATGTAGTGTCTCTACTTTAAAGAGTCCTCTCCTGCTGATGTTCAGGTGTATATCAGTATGTAGTGTCTCTACTTTAAAGAGTCCTCTCCTGCTGATGTTCAGGTGTATATCAGTATGTAGTGTCTCTACTTTAAAGAGTCCTCTCCTGCTGATGTTCAGGTGTATATCAGTATGTAGTGTCTCTACTTTAAAGAGTCCTCTCCTGCTGATGTTCAGGTGTATATCAGTATGTAGTGTCTCTACTTTAAAGAGTCCTCTCCTGCTGATGTTCAGGTGTATATCAGTATGTAGTGTCTCTACTTTAAAGAGTCCTCTCCTGCTGATGTTCAGGTGTATATCAGTATGTAGTGTCTCTACTTTAAAGAGTCCTCTCCTGCTGATGTTCAGGTGTATATCAGTATGTAGTGTCTCTACTTTAAAGAGTCCTCTCCTGCTGATGTTCAGGTGTATATCAGTATGTAGTGTCTCTACTTTAAAGAGTCCTCTCCTGCTGATGTTCAGGTGTATATCAGTATGTAGTGTCTCTACTTTAAAGAGTCCTCTCCTGCTGATGTTCAGGTGTATATCAGTATGTAGTGTCTCTACTTTAAAGAGTCCTCTCCTGCTGATGTTCAGGTGTATATCAGTATGTAGTGTCTCTACTTTAAAGAGTCCTCTCCTGCTGATGTTCAGGTGTATATCAGTATGTAGTGTCTCTACTTTAAAGAGTCCTCTCCTGCTGATGTTCAGGTGTATATCAGTATGTAGTGTCTCTACTTTAAAGAGTCCTCTCCTGCTGATGTTCAGGTGTATATCAGTATGTAGTGTTCTACTTTAAAGAGTCCTCTCCTGCTGATGTTCAGGTGTATATCAGTATGTAGTGTCTCTACTTTAAAGAGTCCTCTCCTGCTGATGTTCAGGTGTATATCAGTATGTAGTGTCTCTACTTTAAAGAGTCCTCTCCTGCTGATGTTCAGGTGTATATCAGTATGTAGTGTCTCTACTTTAAAGAGTCCTCTCCTGCTGATGTTCAGGTGTATATCAGTATGTAGTGTCTCTACTTTAAAGAGTCCTCTCCTGCTGATGTTCAGGTGTATATCAGTATGTAGTGTCTCTACTTTAAAGAGTCCTCTCCTGCTGATGTTCAGGTGTATATCAGTATGTAGTGTCTCTACTTTAAAGAGTCCTCTCCTGCTGATGTTCAGGTGTATATCAGTATGTAGTGTCTCTACTTTAAAGAGTCCTCTCCTGCTGATGTTCAGGTGTATATCAGTATGTAGTGTCTCTACTTTAAAGAGTCCTCTCCTGCTGATGTTCAGGTGTATATCAGTAGGTAGTGTCTCTACTTTAAAGAGTCTTCTCCTGCTGATGTTCAGGTGTATATCAGTATGTAGTGTCTCTACTTTAAAGAGTCCTCTCCTGCTGATGTTCAGGTGTATATCAGTATGTAGTGTCTCTACTTTAAAGAGTCCTCTCCTGCTGATGTTCAGGTGTGTATATCAGTATGTAGTGTCCTCTACTTAAAGAGTCCTCTCCTGCTGATGTTCAGGTGTATATCAGTATGTAGTGTCTCTACTTTAAAGAGTCCTCTCCTGCTGATGTTCAGGGTGTATATCAGTATGTAGTGTCTCTACTTTAAAGAGTCCTCTCCTGCTGATGTTCAGGTGTATATCAGTATGTAGGTGTACTTTAAAGGAGTCCTCTCCTGCTGATGTTCAGGTGTATATCAGTATGTAGTGTCTCATCTTTAAGAGTCCTCTCCCTGCTGATGTTCAGGTGTATATCAGTATGTAGTGTCTCTACTTTAAAGAGTCCTCTCCTGCTGATGTTCAGGTTCATATCAGTATGTAGTGTCTCTACTTTAAAGAGTCCTCTCCTGCTGATGTTCAGGTGTATATCAGTATGTAGTGTCTCTACTTTAAAGAGTCCTCTCCTGCTGATGTTCAGGTTCATATCAGTATGTAGTGTCTCTACTTTAAAGAGTCCTCTCCTGCTGATGTTCAGGTTCATATCAGTATGTAGTGTCTCTACTTTAAAGAGTCCTCTCCTGCTGATGTTCAGGTTCATATCAGTATGTAGTGTCTCTACTGTGACATGTCTCCATGCTCTAATGTTCA